AGATTTTCCCTATATGCATATAGTAAAAACTTAAAAAAATCTTCTTTTAAAGGACCATAAGAGCTAGAGCTTAGATATTAAGCATGACAACATCTTCTAATGAATGTCTACCAAGTTTGTTCAAATAAAAGCCCTGGGGTCAAAATTGGCCCCGCCCCAGGGGGTCATTGATTTTCCCTATATGCATAATTATAGTAAAAACTTAAAAAATCTTCTTTTAAAGAACCCAAAGAGCTAGAGCTAAGATATTTAGCATGAAACATGTTCTTATGGGTGTCTACCAAGTTTGTTCAAATAAAAGCCCTGGGGTCAAAACTGGCCCGCCCCGGGGTCATTGATTTTCCTTATATGTGTATAGCAAAAACTTAAAAATCTTCTTTGAAAAATCCAAATAGCTAGAGTTTAGATATTAAGCATGAAACATCTTTAAGTAAATATCTACAAAGTTTGTTCAAATAAAAGTCTGGGGGTCAAAACTGGCCCTGCCCCAGGGGTGTCATTGTTTTTAACTATATGTGTATAGTAAAAACTTAAAAAATCTTCTTTTAAAAAACCCAATGAGCTAGAACTTAGATGTTTAGCATCTTCTTATGGGTGTCTACCAAGTCTGTTCAAATAAACAAATAAAAGCCCTTGGGTAAAAATTGGCCCGGGGGGGGCTATATACAGGTGAGCGAGGCCCTCTTGTTTTTTTATGCCACCGCAGCATCTGCGATGCGGTGGCATATAGCGATTCACCTGTGTGTATGTGTGTGTGTGTGTGTGTTTGTTTGTTTGTGTGTGTGTGTGTGTGTTATATAGATTATATAGTGAACTTAAAAAATCTTCTTGTGAAAAACCACTAGTCCAATTTCAACCAAACTTGGCAGGATTGATCCTTGGGTGAAGGGCTTCCAAAGTTGTTCAAAGAATTTAATTCCATGCAGAAATCTGGTTGCCATGGCAACCAAAAGGAATTATAAGAATAAATTTAAAAAATCTTCTTGTAAAGACCCAAAAGGCCTAGAGCTTAGATATTTTGCATAAGGCATTGTCTGGTAGACCTCTACCAAGATTGTTCAAATTATAGCCCTAGGGTCAAAATCGGCCCCGCCCCGGGGGTCATTGATTTTCACTATATGTACATATAGTAAAAACTTAAAATACCTTTTTGTAAAGACCCATAGGCCTAGAGCTTAGATATTTTGCATAAGGCATTGTCTGGTAGACCTCTACCAATATTGTTCAAATTATAGACCTGGGGTCAAAATCAGCCCTGCCCCGGGGGTCATGGATTTTCACTATATGTACATATAGTAAAAATTTAAAATACCTTCTTGTAAAGACCCAAAAGGCCTAGAGCTTAGATATTTTGCATAAGGCATTGTCTGATAGACCTCTACCCAGATTGTTCAAATTATAGCCCTGGGGTCAAAATCGGCCCGGCCCCGGGGGTCATTGATTTTCCTCATATTTACATAGTAAAAACTTATAGTAAAAACTTTAAAAAAATTTCTTCTAGCAATTGACAAATGCTAGAGGTTAGATACTTTGCATGAAACATTGTGAAGTGAACCTCTAGCAAGAATGTTCAAATAATAGCCCTGGGGTCAATTGCCCCCGCCCCGGGGTCATTGATTTTCAATATATACATATAGTAAGAAATCAAAAAAATCTTATTGTCTGAAGGTACAAGGCTTAGAGCTTTAATATTTGTTAAATGATATCATCTATAGGTACTCTACCAAAGTTGTTCAAATTTTGCCTCTAGTGTCAAAATTAAAAGTGAACTTTGATATCAGCTGACCTAGATTTTGACAAAGTGTATTACATGTTGTCCTTTGATGCAGTCATGAAATTTTAGGCTGTGTGAAATATGACCTTCACCACCAAATTCACTAGACTCAAGTGCATTGATATATTCCTACTCTGATCTTTTATTGAGTTAACAATAGATTTAACCACTAATCTGATAATAAGAATTAGATATGCATTATGACAATCTTCAATTGTATAGAAACAAAAAAATCTGTTCCTACACTACTATTTAGTGTTGTATTATTGCGGTGGCATAGCATTTTTCTCAAATGCAATCTTGTTTAATTCCGGAGTAAGTCTGTTGCTATTTTTTAAACTGATAATTTTATTAATTGTGTAATTATATGTGAGTTGTATAGGTATTGTAAAGTGACTAAAATGTTAGTTTTGAATGCTGTGTCAACATAATATGACTAATTTAAATGTGTTAAATATTAATGCTAGCATCTAGAATTCATTATACCCCCACAAACGAAGTTTAGGGGGGGTATATAGGAGTCAGCTTGTCGGTCGGTCGGTTGGTCGGTCGGTCCGTCCGTCCGTCGGTCGGTCCACATCATGGTTTCCGGACGATAACTAGAGTTTGGAATGAGGTATTGTAATCAAACTTGGTATATAGCAACCTTATGTGGAAACTCCGGTTGGTATTGCATTTGGACCCCCTGGGGTCAAGGTCAAGGTCACCGTTACTAAAAATAGAAAAATGGTTTCCGGACAATAACTAGAGTTAGGAATGAGATATTGTTATCAAACTTTGCGTATAGCAAGCTTATATGAAGACCTGGGTTGGTATTGCATTTAGGCCCCCTGGGGTCAAGGTCAAGGTCACCGTTACTAAAAATAGAAAAATGGTTTCCGGACAATAACTTGAGTTAGGAATGAGATATTGTAATCAAACTTGGTGTATAGCAAGCTTATATGAAGACCTGGGTTGGTATTGTATTTGGACCCCCTGGGGTCAAGGTCAAGGTCACCGTTACTAAAAATAGAAAAATGGTTTCCAGACAATAACAGGAGTTAGGAATGAGATATTGTTATCAAACTTGGTGTATAGCAAGCTTATATGAAGACCTGGGTTGGTATTGCATTTGGACCCACTGGGGTAAAGGTCAAGGTCACCGTTACTAAAAATAGAAAAATGGTTTCCGGACAATAACTAGAGTTAGGAATGAGATATTGTAATCAAACTTGGTGTATAGCAAGCTTATATGAAGACCTGGGTTTGTATTGTTTTTGGACCCCCTGGGGTCAAGGTCAAGGTCACTATTACTAAAAATAGAAAAATGGTTTCCGGACAATAACTAGAGTTAGGAATGAGATATTGTTATCAAACTTGGTGTATAGCAAGCTTATATGAAGACCTGGGTGTTGGTATTGCATTGGTACCCCCTGGGGTCCAGGTCAAGGTCACCATTCCTAAAAATAGAAAAATGGTTTCCGGACAATAACTAGAGTTAGGAATGAGATATTGTAATCAAACTTTGTGAAAAGCAAGCTTATTTGGAGACCCCAGTTGGGATTACAATTAATTGAAATATTTCTTTGTACACAGTTGATAGTTTGTGTTGCAATTTTTCTTCAGGCTACTTTTTTTCAAAAAGTTGCTGGTGGGGGTATTAATCACCTTCAGTGATAGGTCTAGTTTTATTTGCTTTGTAAACATGTACAGATTTTTCCAATTTGCATGTTCGCCTAAGAAAAATGCTTGATTTTTATGTCAGCTAAAAGAAATTTTGAAAAAATATTATTTTTTTTCTGTTAAAATAAAGGATTATATGTTAAATTAATTCTTATGGCATTTTGCTCTAAACTTCACGCTTTGAAATTGTTCATATGCTATTTTATATATACCAGTTTAATAATGTACATAATCATGTTTTTTCTAGTTGAAAGACCCTGATATAATGTTGAAAATGAATCTTTTTTAAAGTTTTTTCTGTTTTGGTTTTTATTGTAGGAGGTACTTTCACCTTACAAGCAGGAACAGAATATCAAAGTTTAATTTTTATGCAAAACAATCGGAGAGCAAGAATTGTTTAAAACTGTCCTGTAAGAGTTCTTTGTGCAATTTGATATGAGCCGCGTCATGACAAAACCAACATAGTGAGTTTGCGACCAGCATGGATCCAGACCAGCCTGCGCATCCATGCTGTTTGCTTACCAACCCTATTACAAGTAGAGAAACTCAGATAGCGAACAGCATGGATCCTGATCAGACTGCGCAGATGTGCAGGCTGGTCTGGATCCATGCTGGTCATAAATGCACTATGTTGGTTTAGTCATGACGCGGCTCAAATTTTGTTATATTTATTCAGGCAGATAATGTAATACAATATGTTTATATTTATACATTTAACAATTAATTGGCTGCTTTGCTCCTCCTTTTCCTTATTCTCTGTTTGTTAACCCTTTTCCCATACTAAATATCTTAAATCGTCGCCCAAGTACTATAACCTCCGTAGTAAAATTTAGAGGACGTAACACGGTACTGCACTAAGTGTAGGTTACAATTCATTAGTAAGTATTTACAAAATTAAATTGGTCAGGTGTGGCATAGCAGCGCAACCAATTTAATTTTGAAAATACGTACTAATAAAGTTTAACGGCCTTAGTGTTTTAAATTATTTTTATAAACAGTCGATTTACTTCACTGATAAACAGTTTGGCGATTTATTAAAGTAAATGTGTTACGATTCATTAGAAATACTGCAATCCTATTGGACAACAAATAATTTCAAATACTAAGGTGACTAAATGGACTCTATCTTTCAATCTTGACAAAATCATTAATAATTTATAGGTAAATTTTCAAAATAAGCACTGACTGACTAGGTAACAGTGCAGACTATGACAAGTCGGCACAGATGTATCCATGCCAACTCTGACCTTGATTTGCACAGGTCACATGGGTATATTAAGTCACATGAGGAGGCTAAGGGTATAAATGAAGTTGTTTGACTTGATGGAAATGTTTGTTTTGGTCAGTGTGATAAATTAGATAAAAAGAAACTTAAGGCATGAGGCATGAAATATCACTGAAAAGGTAAAAAGTATAGTATTACATTGACCCCTACCTTTCCTAAATATCTGAAATGGGCTTGTCTGTCTTTTAATATGGGCAAAACCATTTATCATTTTTAGCTGGTCTTTTTAGCTCACCTGTCACAAAGTGACAGGGTGAGCTTTTGTGATCGCTTTTCGTCCATCGTCCGTCCGTCCGTCCGTCCGAGCAGACGAGAGCTACATTATGAGGTTTAGGTTTATGTACAGGCACTCTGTATGGGGTTCATTCCGTAGAGACATGTATTATGTGGTTAAAAATGCTCTTATGGGGTTAAAAAAATTTGCTCTTGTGGGGTTAAGAGATCAAAGGAATAACCCCACAAACACGTCTGCTAAGTAAGTCCGTCCGTCGTCCGTCCGTCCGTAAACTTTTGCTTTAAATGACATCTCCTCATAAACCACTGAGCCAATTTCATCCAAACTTCACAGGAATGTTCTTTTGGTGGTCACCTTTAAAAATTGTTCAAAGAATTTAATTCCATACAGAACTCTGGTTGCCATGGCAACCGAAAGAAAAATCTTTAAATATCTTCTTTTAAACAACCCTAAGAGCTAGAGCTTAGATATTTGGCATGAAACATCTTCTAATGAGTGTCTACCAAGTTTGTTCAAATAAAAGCCCTGGGGTCAAAATTGGCCCCGCCCCAGGGGGTCATAGATTTTCCCTATATGCATATAGTAAAAACTTAAAAAATCTTCTTTTAAAGAACCCAAAGAGCTAGAGCTAAGATATTTGGCATGAAACATCTTCTAGTGAGTGTCTACCAAGTTTGTTCAAATAAAAGCCCTGGGGTCAAAATTGGCCCCGCCCCGGGGGGTCATTGATTATCCCTATATGCAAATAGTAAAAACTTAAAAAATCTTCTTTTAAAGAACTGTAAGAGCTAGAGCTTAGATATTTGGCATGAAACATCTTCTAGTGAATGTCTACCAAGTTTGTTCAAATAAAAACCCTGGGGTCAAAATTGGCCCCGCCCCAGGGGGTCATTGATTTTCCCTATATGCATACAGTAAAAACTTAAAAAATCTTCTTTTAAAGAACCCAAAGAGCTAGAGCTAAGATATTTGGCATGAAACATCTTCTAGTGAGTGTCTACCAAGTTTGTTCAAATAAAAGCCCTGGGGTCAAAATTGGCCCCGCCCCGGGGGTCATTGATTTTCCCTATATGCAAATAGTAAAAACTTAAAAAATCTTCTTTTAAAGAACCCAAAGAGCTAGAGCTAAGATATTTGGCATGAAACATCTTCTAGTGAGTGTCTACCAAGTTTGTTCAAATAAAAGCCCTGGGGTCAAAATTTGCCCTGCCCCGGGGGGTCATTGATTTTCCCTATATGCAAATAGTAAAAACTTAAAAAATCTTCTTTTAAAGAACTGTAAGAGCTAGAGCTTAGATATTTGGCATGAAACATCTTCTAGTGAATGTCTACCAAGTTTGTTCGAATAAAAACCCTGGGGTCAAAATTGGCCCCGCCCCAGGGGGTCATTGATTTTCCCTATATGCATATAGTAAAAACTTAAAAAATCTTCTTTTAAAGAACCTTAAGAGCTAGAGCTTAGATATTTGCCATGAAACATCTAGTGAATGTCTATCAAGTTTGTTGAAATAAAAGCCCTTGGGTCAAAATTGGCCCCGCCCCAGGGGGTCATTGATTTTCCCTATATGCATATAGTAAAAACTTAAAAAATCTTCTTTCAAAGAACCCAAAGAGCTAGAGCTAAGATATTTAGCATGAAACATGTTCTAATGGGTGTCTACCAAGTATGTTCAAATAAAAGCCCTGGGGTCAAAACTGGCCCGCCCGGGGGTCATTGATTTTCCTTATATGTGTATAGCAAAAACTTAAAAATCTTCTTTGAAAAAACCCAAATAGCTAGAGTTTAGATATTAAGCATAAAACATCTTTAAGTAAATATCTACAAAGTTTGTTCAAATAAAAGCCCGGGGGTCAAAACTGGCCCTGCCCCAGGGGTGTCATTGTTTTTAACTATATGTGTATAGTAAAAACTTAAAAAATCTTCTTTTAAAAAACCCAATGAGCTAGAACTTAGATGTTTAGCATGAAACATCTTCTTATGGGTATCTACCAAGTTTGTTCAAATAAACAAATAAAAGCCCTTGGGTAAAAATTGGTCCCGGGGGGGGGGGGGGGGGGGGGCGGGCTATATACAGGTGAGCGACCTAGGGCCATCATGGCCCTCTTGTTTAAGAGAGTTTGAGCTATTATAATGACAGTGTCATTGTTGTCATTATTGTTGTCATGCAAAAACTTCATTGTAGCCCATTATTCATTCATTTTAAGAGGTATCAACATGAAACTTTGAATTGCTTGTAAGACATTAGGGCCATAAGTCTGAAAGCTACATTTGTGAAGTTATGCCCCTTTTTATACGCCCGTATAACGGGACGTATTATGGGAACGGGCGGGCGTATGGGCGGGCGGGCGGCGTCCAATTTTGTCCGGAGCATATCTCCTGCACGCATGGAGGGATTTTAATGAAATTTCATAGAAATGTTCACCATTATGAGAAGCCATGTCATGCACATGAACTAGGTCGCTAGGTCAAAGGTCAAGGTCACACTTAGAGCTCATTGAAAAACGCTTGTCCCGAGCAAAACTTCCACATGCATAGAGGGATTTCAATATAACTTGGCACAAATGTTCACCATTGTGAGGCTGAGTGTCGCGCACAAAATTCAGGTCCCTGCAGCCAATGTCAAGGTCACACATAGAGGTCAAAGTTTAGATAAAAATATGAAGATGTGTATAGGGACGATTTAATCATCATTTATTGAGGGATTGTAACACAAATGGTCATTATCATGACTACGGCTGTGACACATGTACTTTTAGTCAATATATGCAAGGTCAAGGTCACTAAAGATGGTGAAATATCCAGATTTTGTCTGGAGCATATCTCCTACATGTATGGAAGAATTTTTATAATACTTTATGGAAATGTTCACCACCATGATATGTATTGCTCCATGCATGATCCAGGTCTCCAGGTCAAAGGTCAAGGTCACACTTAGAGCTCATTGAAAAACGCTTGTCCGGAGCAAAACTTCTACATTCATAGGGGGATTTCAATATAACTTGGCACAAATGTTCACCATTGTGAGGCTGAGTGTTGCACGCAAAATTCAGATCCCTGCGACCAAAGTCAAGGTTACACATAGAGGTCAAAGTTCAGATAAAAATTTGAAGATGTGTATAGGGACCATTTAGTCATCATTTATTGATGGATTGTAGCACAAATGGTAACTATCATGACTACAGGTGTGACACATTTAATTTAGGTTAATATTTGCAAGGTCAAGGCCACTGGAGATGATTAAATATCCAGATGTTGTCCGGAGCATATTTTCTACATGCATGGAGGAATTTTAATGTTACTTTATAGAATTGTTCACCACCATGAGACGTAGTGCCCTGCACATGAACCAAGTCTCTGGGTCAAAGGTGAAGGTCACAGTAAGAGCTCATAGAAAAACGCTTGTCTGGAGCAAAACTTCTACATGCATAGAGGAATTTCAATATAATTTGGCACAAATGTTCATCATTGTGAGGCTGAGTGCCATGCATAAAATTCAGGTCCCTGCGACCAAGGTCAAGGTCACACATCCTGTGCATATCTTTCTACTGATTTGTTTTAAGGTTCATTTAACAACACAGTGCCAAGAATAAAAACTTGCTTGCTAGATAACACTTATCCATAATGCCCCCATCTCCATCTAAAGCTTTCGTAAACGGGCGTATTTTGTGACTATGGCACCCTTGTTAACTTTAAATTGAGGATTTAAACATTTTTATGCTCCCCGAAAAAATTGGGGCGAGCATGTAGTCACCAGGTTGTTTTTTTTGTTGTTATTTACATGTATAGAGAAAATTTCACTGTAATTGTGTAACTATACTGAACAAAAAAAATTATTTCCTAGATGTTAAATGTACGGGAGTCTAACAACTTCAATTATCTTAAGTGTACATATATTCTGCCTGGATGCTAAATTTAATAAAAAAAATATGAAAATATATAATTATAAAAAAAATGCATTTTAAAATTGCACTTTTGAAGGCTTCATTTTATATACGCACCCCTTCCTCCACTCACGCACCTATACTGCATTACAAGCTGTAAATACATGTGTGTAAGTGAGTAAGTCGTTTTCTCTGTAAAATGCTTTGCTTTTCTGAGCTGAAAACATAAAATGCCTATGTTTAGTAAATTATTTATAACCTCATAAAAAATGAAGGTTTTATTTTACTTGTATGTAATGTCGTACGTATCAACTTTACAGCTTACGTTCCTTGATAGCAGGAGTCTCCTTCACCACTGTTAGTTGAAATCCAGTCAGGATTGGCGACGTGTGAGAAAGCTATCAAACAAGCTTACGAAGGTGGCTGGTTCTAATTCGATGCCTTTAAGTTGCCTGAAATAATGCTCATTTAAGATGAAATCAATAACCGTTTTTTTGTTGTTGTTTTTTCTCATCTTTTACTAGCATCAAAGCACCCAAATGAAAAGACAAAATTATAAGTGTATTTACCTTGTGGTGGTCATTACACTAGTGACAACTAGTAAAAACATGACATGATAAAAACCAAAGAAAAACAAAAAAACTTTTGCTTGTTGTTACTACACTAGCAACAACACGTCTTGTGACATGACCAAAGCTACTTTGTCTTGTTTTCATCATTTAGCTAGGGAACAGACAATAAACAACCTTAATATAAAATCCCTGACTTCACCATTATAACAAATGGCACATAATCGCACTTTATTAAAGCAAATAAATACTTCCATCCAAACATTGATTACCTTGGTATAGTTTGTATAATCATTACATCGTTCATAATTTGCTTATTCTAATGCCTGGAAAATTATTTAAACAAACCATTTTTTAAGAAAATAAAACAACAAATTTCTAGAATTCAAGAATGCTTAAAATTTTAAAGAGACATGTTCTAGACTTATTACATCTGCCTCTACAGTTTCTCGAAAACAGTTTAAACCTTTTACTGTTTGCTCATACTAGAAATAATATTCTAAGAGGCTATTTTTGTATTATTTTAGAAGTTGTCACATTGAAAATGATGTCAACAGATACCCCATTATAAAGATTATGTTTTTTTTTTAAAAATCATATGTGATCAGGCGAGCGTTTCACTAATATTCCGTAAGTTTAGCGTATCTTTTTACGTAAATTTGGACATAAGCAAAATGTAAATTTACGTTAGTTGCATTTCACTAATCAGAACGTGCAATTTGCGCCAGCAATATGTGAGCGTAACTTAACGTTTAAACCTACGCCAATACGTAGCTCAGAAAGTTTAGTGAAACGCAAATAAATACGTATGTTCTGATTACGCAAAAAGTTACGTTCAAACTGGAGTTACGATAATGTAAGTACGTTAGTGAAACGCACCCCAGTATTTAGTATTATAAATATATAGTGTTATTTTTTTTCTATTTTCAGTCAACACTAGATACAGTGTATAACCATTCAAGTGATGATTCCTCTCTCAATGTTATAGTATGATGACACTCAATAATATTGTGTCACATGTATGAACAGAAGATCATTTATAGTGTGCCTGTCTAATTACAGTGTAATTGTGTGGACAGTAGACCAGTCTGAATGTGAAATGTGACAATATTTGATTTTAGGTGTACCAGTCTAGTGTGATTGTGGACAGTGAACCAGTCTGAAGGTGACATATGACAATATTTGATTTTAGGTGTACCAGTCTAGTGTGATTGTGGACAGCGGACCAGTCTGAATGTGACATGACAATATTTGATTTTAGGTGTACCAGTCTGATTAATTAAGAGTATTGCTACAATGTATAAATCTTATTAATTAAAGCTTTGTAGTATATAATTGATAGTCCCAGTCAATGGTACAATGTACCAGTTGTAAATTATGGCGTGCATGTCTGATTAGAATCTTACAAGACAATAATTTACTGTGTCCAAATCTGATAAATTAAATTGTGAAAGTCTGTTATTTATTAAAATGTGATCTGTTTAATGAATAAGTCTGATTTAGAGTGTGATAATCTGTAATGTACATTGCACCAGTATGATACAGGTGTGTCACTATGTAATACACAGTGTACCAGTCTGGTAAGAATGTAATAATACGTAATAATATGTTATTCATACTGTACCAGTCTGACTAGTGTGACAATCTGTAATACAGTGTACCAGTCTGATTAGTGTGACAATCTGTAATGCACAGTGTACCAGTCCAACTAGTGTGCCAATCTGTAATGCACGGTGTACCAGTCTGATTAGTGTGACAATCTGTAATGCACAGTGTACCAGTCTGATTAGTGTGACAATCTGTAATACAGTGTACCAGTCTGATTAGTGTGACAATCTGTAATGCACAGTGTACCAGTCCGGCTAGTGTGACAATCTGTAATGTACAGTGTACCAGTCTGATTAGTGTGACAATCTGTAATGCACAGTGTACCAGTCTCATTAGTGTGACAATCTGTAATGCACATTGTACCAGTCTGAAAAGTGTGTGACAATCTGTAATGCACAGTGTACCAGTCTCATTAGTGTGATAATCTGTAATGCACATTGTACCAGTCTGAAAAGTGTGTGACAATCTGTAATGCACAGTGTACCAGTCTGAAAAGTGTGTGACAATCTTTAATGCACACTGTACCAGTCTGAAAAGTGTGTGACAATCTGTAATGCACAGTGTACCAGTCTCATTAGTGTGACAATCTGTAATGCACATTGTACCAGTCTGAAAAGTGTGTGACAATCTGTAATGCACAGTGTACCAGTCTGAAAAGTGTGGGACAATCTGTAATGCACACTGTACCAGTCTGATTAGTGTATGGCAATCTGTAATACTTATTGTACCAGCCTGATAAGAGTGGGACTATCTGTAATGCATATTGTACCAGTTAGTGTGTGACAATTTTTAATGCAAAGTGTACCAGTCGTATAAGAGTGTGATGATCTGTTAAGCAAAGTGTAGCAGTCTGATCAGAGTGTGACAATTTGTAATGCATATTGTGCCAGCCTGATCAGTGTGTGACAATCTGTAATGCATATTGTGCCAGCCTGATAACAGTGAGACAATCTGTATTGCACAGTGTACCAGTCTGATTAGTATGTAATTATCTGTAATGCACAGTGTAGACTAAATTAAGGTAGACCATGGGTAATGGGAACCATAAGGAACTTTAAAATTGACAACATAGGACGGTTATATGTCTTCAAGTTCACCTGTATGCAAAATTTAAATAAAATTTACCGTGTGGTTTATGAGTTATGGATATATTTCTGAACTAAGACTTTGCCATTAGAAGGGCTTATTTTCAGAAATGAGGAAACTCTAAATAATCTGTAATATCATCATTATAAAAAATGTTTTTCTATTGCCCATTGTTAAGAAACAATAATAACATTCAAATAACAAATTACACAAGCAAAATGTTTGTTTCTAAACAAAATGTTTTGAATATGTATAAAAATGTTACCCTACCCCACCAACTTTAACACTAATTTTACCATTTCCATATCTAAAATGCCTTATTTAAAATATTCCTAAAATTTTCCATAATGAGGGGCTGTTTTCAAAGTTTGCCTAAATTTTCTTAAAGGTATATTGGTTGATCATGCGAAATATAAAATACTTTTACCGTGTGGTTTTTATTTTATTAAATTTTGAAAATATCTGGTGTCATATTTGCTATAAATTTTGGCATTATTTAGCAAATAAATACCTACAATAATTATATAATTTAAATCAAACCCTTTTTTCTTCCATAAGGGATCAGAGAGATACATAAATAATGTTAAAAAGAAAAAAAAAGAAAGAAAAAAAAAGAAAGAAAAAAAAGTTGCCCCTTCTGGGGTTTGAACCCACGCCCCTCAATTTCAATGTAGTTTGCAAGTGATTTTAGCCTATTTGAATACTCTTCAAAGTGGAGGTAATGCATTACCCATGGTCTACCTTAAGTTCAGAATAAATTTAAGTTTTAGCAATTGATAATAATTTAATCGAAGATTAACAATTATTTGAAACATGTAAGCTTTATAATACTGATGAGGGAAGCTAACTTCCGTCAAGTGTTATTTTCCTGTTTTTGTCATAATTGAGATTTCTTACCTTTGTCCTGTTTTTCCCATTATTTTCCTGTTTACCTACTTTTTATGTGAAAATGAATAAGTTCAGTATACTTTCAATTATTTTTGTTAAATGATACATGTTAATTCAGCTAATGTATGACAAACATTGGTAAATTAATGGGGGGAAAAAACACAAGTCATTATCCCAGAGAACAGTAAACTTCTGACCTTGTGGCCTTACTAGAGCATTTTGTGAAAAATGGCTGTTTTCATTGAAAAGCCTCCTGTTACATGTTCAAATTGCTAAGGCTTCAATACTGTTCAAAAGTGGCACAAATGTTGACTTGACCATAGCCTTTGTAAAGGCATACTTAATCTTAAATTTCCTATTACCATGGCAAGGAGCGGACATCTCAAAATTGCCAAGAATCATTATTTTGCTTTGACTTTTCCATTAAAATTGATTTTAAAGTGCTGCAACTTATCAATGGATTGAGATAGAGTCAAATGCTTTTAAGTGTTGGTTACACGTTACCTTATCATCGATCTGGGGACATTTTTAGCCTTTCACAAGTCCAAAATTTTCTTGGCGATGAGGGGGACTGCCGCCCCCTTCAAAACCCCCAAACAGAAGGGAGCACATTCCCCTTCTGGCAACCCCCTGATGTATCTTTTGGATAGGTGGCCGCGCCGAAAAAGTGGTCACCTTTTTTAACAACATTTCTCAAACGAAAAGCAGTCTTTGGGGCCTATATAGGGCATTTGTTCACTATTTGAGGCCTAAAAGAGGAGGGGAGGGGTCAAAAGTGCGTTGTTTGGTGTATATATGAGGGAAAGGGTTAAAATCAACCTGAGGTCATTTTTAGCCTCTCGCAAGTCCAAAATTTTCTTGGAGATGATTTGGTCTGCCGACCCCCTTCAAACCCCCAAGCAGAAGGGAGATGTGGACGAAAAAGTGATCACTTTTTTTAGCTCACCTGAGCATATGCTCAGGGTGAGCTATTAGGATCACTCTTCGTCTGTCGTACGTCGTCCGTCGTACGTTGTCCGTTCACACTTTTCAAACGACATCTCCTCTGAAACCATAAGGCAGATCATAATGAAACTTCTGACAGGGATGTTCCTTGTGTGAAGCCTTAACAAAGTTGTTCAAAGAATTCCATTCCATGCAGAACTCTGGTTGCCATGGCAACCAAAAGAAAAAACTTTAAACATCTTCTTCTAGAAAACCCAAAGAGCTAGAGCTTAGATATTTGGCATGAAACATCTTCTAGTGAGTGTCTACCAAGATTGTTCAAATAAAATCCCTGGGGTCAAAATTATCCCCGCCCCAGGGGGTCATTGATTTTCCCTATATGCATATAGTAAAAACTTAAACAAATCTTCTTTTAAAGAACCCAAAGAGCTAGAGCTAAGATGTTAAGCATGAAACATCTTCTAATGAGTGTCTACCAAGATTGTTCAAATAAAAGCCCTGGGGTCAAAATTGGCCCCGCCCCAGGGGGTCATTGATTTTCCCTATATGCATATAGTAAAAACTTAAAAAATCTTCTTCTAAAAAAACCCAAAGAGCTAGAGCTTAGATATTTGGCATGAAACATGTTCTAATGGATGTCTACCAAGTTTGTTCAAATAAAAGCCCTGGGGTCAAAATTGGCCCCGCCCCTGGGGGTCATTGATTTTCCCTATATGCATATAGTAAAAACTTTCTTTTAAAGAACCCAAAGAGCTAGAGCTAAGATATTTAGCATGAAATATCTTCTAATCGGTATCTACCAAGTTTGTTCAAATAAAAGCCCTTGGGTCAAAATTGGCCCCGCCCCAGGGGGTCATTGATTGTCCCTATATGCATATAGTAAAAACTTAAAAAAAATTCTTTTAAAGAACCCAAAGAGCTAAAGCTAAGATATTTAGCATGAAACATCTTCTAATGGTCGACTACCAAGTTTGTTCAAATAAAATCCCTGGGGTCAAAATTGGCCCCGCCCCAGGGGGTCATTGATTTTCCCTATATGCATATTGTAAAAACTTAAAAATCTTCTAAAAAACCCAAAGAGCTAGAGCTTAGATATTTAGCATGAAACATCTTCTAGTGAGTGTCTACCAAGATTTTTCAAATAAAAGCCCTGGGGTCAAAATTGGCCCCGCCCCAGGGGGTCATTGGTTTTCCCTATATGCATATAGTAAAAACTTAAAAATCTTCTAAAAAACCCAAAGAGCTAGAGCTTAGATATTTAGCATGAAACATCTTCTAGTGAGTGTCTACCAAGATTGTTCAAATAAAATCCCTGGGGTCAAAATTGGCCCCGCCCCAGGGGGTCATTGATTTTCCCTATATGCATATAGTAAAAACTTAAAAGTCTTCTTTGAAAAAACCAGAATAGCTAGAGTTTAGATATTAAGCATGAAACGTTTTCTAGTAAGTGTCTACAAAGATTGTTCAAATAAAAGCCCTTGGGTCAAAACTGTTTTTAACTATATGTGTAAAGAAAAAAACTTGACCAGCTAGACCTTAGATGTTAAGCATGAAATATCTTCTAATGGGTGTCTACCAAGTTTGTTCAAATAAAAGCCCTGGGGTTTAAACTGGCCCCGCTCCGGGGGCCTATATGCAGGTGAGCGACTTCAGGGCCATCATGGCCCTCTTGTTTAAAACACCATTTCTCAAACATAAACAAGTGTTTGGGGTCTAAAAAGGCCATTTTTTTTCACTATTTGAGGCATCGAAAACTCGGGGTGAAAAGGTGTAGAAAGACGTCTATATGAAGTAATGGGTTAAGGTGTGAAAAGTATTTGATTTTTCTTCAGGATTTCTTCATAATTCTGTATTACTTTTGACTGTTGTTTTTTCTGTCTGTGGGAAAGTGTTATTCAACTATAATATTATTTTGAAAATGAAAAGTTTACTTAATTAGCTTGAGATTTGAAAAATAAATGTGAAATTGTACTGACAGTGTTTTATTAACATTGTAATAAATGTATAGATTTAGAAAAAAATTAAACAATCTTAATTAGTTCTAACTTATATCTTCAGATGATATAAATGTTGATGTTTGATTTTCAAGCTAAAATTCTCTAATTAAAAATCAAGCAGATCTTTGTAAAATTTCAACAGGCATGTTTGATTAACATTATTACTGTTTAGTAATGAAAATTTTTACAGAACATTTCTGTGGCAAACAACAACTTGTAAAGGTACAATGTGTTATGTTTTTCACCAATTCCGGTTGTTGTTTACATGATATGTGTTCATAGTTTTTCAGGAATTATAGAATTGTCACGATTATATCAATAAACAGGAAATGGAAATACCACTGTGTGTAAATGACACAGTGTTTTTCCGTTGTTTGTTAACAGGATTTAAACAATAGGTTGTTGGCTTGTAAAATTTTTGCGTAATTGGGTGACGGAAATGAATTTAAGGATAGGTTACATGTATTTTCAGAGCATTCTTTTATATATAATGCATGGTTATTTGAAACAAAGGATATGAAGTATGTCCAGTAACCTTTTAAAAAAGTCATCGACTTTGGTAGCTTTGACATTTTAGCATTCTTGTTGGGGCAGGAAATATTCTCTTCCTTTGTACATTAAAAATTCCCTAAAAACTTTGGGTAAAAGTTCTTATTTTTGTACAATCTGCCCAAGAATCTTTCCAAAAACAAGTTTTGAATGATGAGTTTAATTTTTTTTTCGAATGTAAGATCACTGTAAAATGACCTTTCTGAGTTTTGATGATGAGTTTTCAAATGTAAGTTCACTTTAATTTAAGGTCCGAGCGTATTTATATAATCACGACTCCCTTACATAGACTAACCAGTTCTGTTTTCTTGTGAAAATCCAAGTACTTACTTCATAATTGAGAAGGTCACACACTAATTTCAGCAAAGGCCCATTATCTCTAACATGGATTTTGACAGAATTATTTCCCTTTTTTTGACTAAACAGCCCTAATCTACCATCAGCTGTCTGTTACTTCCAACTACCTTGTTGTAATGTATAATAACATTTTGTTGTCAACATATGCCTACATTAATTCTGATCAGTAATTAAGTTGTAGCCCAGTAATTCAAGGGAGAAAACTTTAACAACTTTTAATTTACACATAATAATTTACCAATGTTTTATTAATTGATAACTAAATGTATATTGCTGTATAATTATTTTTTTCTGATCACTGTTTGTTGTTAGAATACTCATTATGTTGTTACTTTATAATAATATTTACATTGATGTTTTTGTATGTATTTATTTATTTCATGTGAATTAATTTTGAGACATTTGGTGTGCAAATGTTCATGCATTTTTCTACTTAATCTTGAATAAATTACATAACATATTCAATTTAAGAAAAAGCTTTTTCCTTTATTATATTTAATGATTTTTTTTGTTTTAATAATTAATTTTGAGACATTTTTTATTCAAATTTTTATGCATTTTTGTACTTAATCTTGAATAAATTACATAACATATTTGATTAAAAAGCTTTTTCCTTTATAAAGTATAATTATGAAAATTTTTCTCTTTTTAAAAAAACAACAAAAAATGTATTTGCCATTTTGCTTGATGCAAAAGTACAGGCTATTTTTCTTTAATATTCAAAGTACAGGCCATTATGTCTTATTCAATGGACAATTTTAGTACTGGTCATTTTGCTTTATTGAAAGTATGGGCTATTATATATTTTTTAAGGTTGTGTTTTGCTAGGTTTTTGCACTGTTATGAAAGTTTTTTGTTTTTTTTTTCTTATATGAAAATAATTTTACAATTATTATTTACAGAGAACTTACAATTTATATTGGTACCAATTTAGCTCTGTTTGTTAAATACTTAGTTTTTTTCCTCCCCAGAGGGGAATTACATAAGTGCTGTCTCTTACATCTAATATAATTTTTTCGTACATTTGAATTTTTTTCAAAAAAAGGGAAATTTTAGAATTTGCAATAACAAAGAAGAAAGTTCTGACATCAAAAAAAGAGGAAATTTCTTTAATTTGTGAAAATACCCATTATTTTAAGAAAAATCTTTGAAAATATGGCTGCAAAAAGTGGGAGTCTCCCACTGAAATAGGAGAGTTCACATGTATGTTTTTTGTTCACACAAAAAGTTAGTGTTTCTATTAACCACCAACTGGAATCAATTACAACTTCTCAGGGAGATTCACTATGAGGAGTGGGCCACATCAGTGTGGACCATGTTACTAGAAATTGATTATAAATTCCTCGTTTAATTAAAGCAGCCCACCTCTTATGTTTGTGTTATTTTTTATGAAAACTGAAAAATTGTTGAAATGTGGAAAAAAATCTTATCTTGTGTACACAATGAATTATCTTAACCTAGCTTATAACACTTGCTATCCTCAAAAATCATGATTGAACTCTTCAAAATATATAGATATTTTTCTGTTAGTTTGATGATGAAAAATAGTAAATTCTGACCTAGGTTGTGAATATATAATTACATTTCTTAAACTAAAATTTTTTTTAACGTTTATTTTCTTGTAGATTTATTAAATTAACCTGGTGATGTGATATTTATGGGCCTTTTGGTAGTATTATAACTATATTTCACCAACCACAGGCTTTATTACTCGGGCTGCATCTTTAAATATGTAAATCTTTTTCTTTCTTTTTTTTTTGGTTTTATTTATTTAGTTTTATATAGTTTTTGACTTTTCTTTCATATCGCTTTTGTAGAAAAGATTTAAAATAATTTGTTTCGGTAATAAATGTCATCTTGGCAATAACCCGACTGAAATCTTTTGAAATTTCATAGGATGCCAAGGTCTGATATTCCTCACAGACTAACTTGGAATGCATACTTCATTTGAATGATATCTCCGATCATATTCATTGTTGAATTAAACCTTAAAGTTAAAGTAAGTTAAATTATATAACCTCTGTTTCATTACTATTTTTAACAGAATTTATTTTTGTGCCCCCACGTTAGTGGCGGGCATTTAGATTTACCCTTGTCCGTCCGTCCGGACGTCCGTCCTTCCGTCCGTCCGTTCACTTTTGTGTCGCATGTAACTCAAAAAGTATTTGACCTAGAGTCATGAAACTTTACAGGAATGTTGATCAGCATGTGTTGTTGTGCACCTGGGTATTTTCCTCTGGATATTTTTAGTATTTTCAGAGTTATTGCCCTTGACTTAGTAAAATTTTGCAATTTTCAACTTGTGTCGCATGTAACTCAAAAATTATTTGACCTAGAGTCATGAAACTTTACAGGAATGTTGATCAGCATGTGTTGTTGTGCACCTGGGTATTTTCGTCTGGATATTTTTAGTATTTTCAGAGTTATTGCCCTTGACTTAGTAAAATTTTGCAATTTTCAACTTGTGTCGCATGTAACTCAAAAAGTATTTGACCTAGAGTCATGAAACTTTACAGGAATGTTGATCAGCATGTGTAGTTGTGCACCTGGGTATTTTAGTCTGGATATTTTAAGTGTTTTCAGAGTTATTGCCCTTGACTTAGTAAAATTTTGCAATTTTCAACACGTGTCGCTGTAACTCAATAAGTATTCGACCTAGAGTCATGTAACTTTACAGGAATATTGATCAGCATGTGCAGTTTTGCACCAGGTATTTTTGTCTGGATTTATTTAGTATTTTTAGAGTTATTGCCCTTCACTTAAATTTTTTTTGCAATTTTCAACTTGTGTCGCAAGTTACTCAAAAAGGATTTGACATAGTCATTAAACCTTATGGGCAGGTTGCTCAGCATATTTAGATTTGCACCTTGGGTTTCGCTTGTGGATGTATCCAGTATTTGTAGAGTTATTTCCCTTGACTTAGTAAAAAGATTGACAGAACAGTGGCGCGGTGGGGGCACCCGTGTCCTATGGACACATTTCTAGTTTTCCCGTTCATTTCATTTAAATGCACATTATACCTCAGAAATCCATATTTATTTTTAATTCTTTAGGAATTTCAAACTTGTGTTTTAATAATAGATTACGGGCATGTTAGATGTTTAACAGCTGGTGACTGTAGTGCTGAACATGCAGTAATGTGTTGTAAATGTAGAAAATTGTATTTTGACTTCCATACAAAATGCTTATTTCCTATACTTATACCAATTGCGAATAGAATAAAGGTGGCCAAAGATAGTTCATGTGTATGGCAAATAAGTTTTCAATGAAAACTGTAAGAAGATATTTTAGATGAAAAAAAAAAAATTGACAAATAAAAATTGTAGCATTTCTGAAGCATAATGGGCCTTGAAAGTCAGAATTTACTTTTTAGCCAAGTTTGTTTTGATAAGGATTAACTGATAAAAGATTATTGGGAAAAAAAATGAGGATAAAAATGACTCGTTTCCAAAGCTCTTCTTTATTATAGTTATATAATTATCACTTTTTAAACTGATATTTCTGTTACGGTTGCTACTTTTATTAAGTGGTCTTAAAGTGACATTATGCTCATTTTTTGATTTCGAGTTGAATTAGTAATATATTTGACTATTACAATAAGGTTTGACCAATAATTGATGGAGAAAAATGTTCAGGAAACAATTATATGCAAACTAAATTACAAAGAGACTGCCCTATCCTCTTTAAAAAAAAATGAACATTAATGATATATTTAAAGGATATTTTGGTCATGTAGATAATAGATTTCTTTCTTTTATAATTAAATATAAAATTGAACCTAAATATGACAAAATGTCAAGTTATTTCGATTTTTTCTTGTTCACCAACCAGTTATTATTGGATGGGCATGTCACTTTAATTTACATAAAACACACATACATTATTTTTGATCTGTTTCTTACAATGCAATATTTCTACATCAACTCTTTGTACTTCTTGTTTCATTTACATAACTTTCATAATTTACTTGTACTCGAACATTTATGATGATTTTTATTGTAATTTGATTGCGTTATCGAACAAATAAAATATTGAATTGCATGTTGTTGTTGTTTTACTACGATTGTGAGACTACAAGCATCAAATAACAACCTTCAAAAACTTTAATGCTGATTTTAAATTATTAACATATCTCAGTGGTAGGTCCACCCGAGTCACTCTTAACTTGCAAGTGATGACCAATTTCTCCGCAAATGACCGACTACAACTCCTACTATATCTAGTGACAATAACCATAAGACTTAAATGTACGAGATCAAAATTTCATGTCGCGAGAAATTACACCTCTCCCAAAGCATCGAACCAGCGACACTGGAATACAATGCTGAGGCTCTTCAGTTTGAGCCATGCAGGCGTATAATGTCAATTTAATTCTTCTTAAAGTTACTGCTTATCAGATCAAAGTTCAGCCGCAGTTTGAATACTGCCTTTAGATATGGTTACTTAATGGCAGGTCCGAGAGAACAATTTTAAACTATTTATACCCCCAAAAACGAAGTTTGGGGGGATATATAGGGTCACCCGGTGGTTGGTCGGTCGGTCCAGACGTCCGTTGCATTTTCCTTGTCTGGAGCATAACTTGAAGACTAATGGTTGGAATTCAATAGAACTACATACAATGGTCAAGCACCTTGAGAGGAAGTGCAGTGCACAAGAACCATAACTCTATCTTGACTAATTACAGAGTTATTGCCCTTTGTTACTTTTCCTTGTCCAGGGCATAACTTGAAAACTACTGGTTGGAATTCAAAACAACTTCATACAATTGTCAAACACAATAAGGGGAAGTGCAGTACACAAGAACCATAACTATCTAAAGTAATTACAGAGTTATTGCCCTTTGTTGCTTTTCCATTGCTTTTTTTTTGTCCGGACCATAACTTGAAGACTAATAGAACTACATACAATGGTCAAGCACATTGAGAGGAAGTGCAGTGCATAAGAACCATAACTCTTTCTTGACTAATTACAGAGTTATTGCCCTTTGTTACTTTTCCTTGTCTTTCTGGACTTATTACAGGGTAATTCAATTAAACTTCATCAATGGCCAACCACATTGAAAGGAAATGCAACATATAAGAGCCACAACTATCTTTAATTGCCCACAACCATAACTATATTTCAATTCTTTTACAAGGTATTCTGTTACTAGTAACATCCTCATTTCTGAAGCAGTCTTGTGGGGGTATTAATCACATTTAGTGATAGTTCTAGTTTAACATAAGGAGCTTCATTGATCATGTTGGTATATATAATTCCTAATGTATAAAATCTGGAATAAATGAATCTCTATTTTCAATACAGTGTATTTATATGTCATCTATTGTTTGGTTTCAAATTTAAGTGTACCAGTTGATTTAAGAAAGAACTTCAAAATTTATTATTTGGACCTCCTTTAATCAATGCTTATTTTCTCAAGACCCAATATAAAATAAAAAAGAACAAAACATGTCTTTTTCATCTTTATTTTCATTCAATTCATTTAAAAACAACAAAATGTGAAAATCTTCATCATCTCGAAACTAGTCAAGATATTTTTTTTTATAAAACAAACATTGTCTCATTTTTGGTAATAAAAATCACTACATTTGTTTGTTGTAACAGATAATTTCTAATATCCCTATCACAATATTTTCCTCCGTTTCACTTTTTTTTACAAAAAAAAAAATTATTATCAGAAAAATGAGAAATTACTTTGTGTTTAATCTGAATGTTTCACCGTTTTAAACTACTGAATAAACCTATTATTTATTTTCCTGTAAATTGTTCTTAAGTTAGAATGTAAATTAATTGTACATTTATGTATATTTTGTCTTCCAATATCTTTAAACTGCCTTTGTCAATTCAATTCAATATATATGCTGAAACATGGTCACACTTTTTATCCTTAAAAACACAGATATTTTAATTATAATATATAACACAAAGGATAACCTAGCCTTTCCTATGTTTCTGATAGTCACTGTTCTAAGATTTATTAATCAATAAATAGTCTTGTACAAAACTTTGTATAAGCGAAACTGTCATCGAATATAATAAAGTTAAGGTAGGTTAAGCTGAAGCCACCTTCTTCTGGTACATTGCCATTCTCTCCTCAATCTCTGGCCGGAAATGACGAATTAATCCCTGAAATATCAAGAAATGACAAATTAATCCCTGAAATATCAAGAAGTTAAAAAACATTTTTAAAATGGACTGTTCCAAATGATATATCATGTTAATTCACACTATTTTTAATAAATAGATCCTCAAATTTGAGACATGTGAATATTTTATAATACTGCATGTTTGTAAAGTGAGGATAATCGTGACGTTTATATAGTTCTATATACACGTCTGCCGTCAATTTATGAAGAAATATCACTTTTTTTCTCTAGATAAGAAAATTTGCTGTATTATCAATTCGTAATAAATGAAGAAATTAAGCACCTGTTTAATTTTTCGATCGTAGATGGTCATTCCCAGTCACTAGCAATCACCAAATATCTATGCTCGGCTACATATACACTCTCATAGTGTCTGAATACTGGTGAATATGGTGGAAATCAATGCCTTGTGTTATTTCACTGTTACTTACAATATGAAAACATGGTAAGCTAGAACTATATATATATATATATATATATATATATACCTGTACTGGCCATGCTGCGCCGTCACCTAGAGCACAAATTGTGTGACCTTCAATCTGTTTACTAATCTCCCATAACATATCTATCTCATCTGTCCTACCATTACCATCAACTGTAAAATATATATAAATTACCATCTCATTTGTTATTGCAAGTATATATATAAATGAGCTGTGCCAAGACAAAACCAACATAATGCATTTGCGACCAGCATGGATCCAGACCAGTCTGGGCATCAGCACAGTCTGATCAGGATCCATGCGGTTTCCTACAAACCCTATTACAAGTAGAGAAACTGATAGTGAAAAGCGTGGATCCTGATCAGCCTACGAGGAATCCATGCTGGTTGCAAACCCGCTAGTTGGTTTTGTCATGGCGCGGCTCAAAAATATTTTTAACTTTACTGTTGCAATGAGAGGTTCAAGCAATGAAAGCTCTTACAGAAATAAACGTATAAAAGTTTAACCTAATTTATATTTGTATTTGACAAAACCTATCTTTGGAATATTAAATATTTATATAAATGTTGTATCAAAATACCTGAAACAGGTTAATTAGCACAAAAAAATCGCAATGGCCGCTGTGGTGTAGTGGTAAGCATACTGAACCAGTTATTCATAGACCACTGGTTTGAGTCCCTACTGGCGTGCCAATATTTTGTGTGACTTTTTATTTATGTATAGGAAAATATTACGAGAGGGAATGGGTGGGTTTATAAGTTTTTATACATAATTTCATGATGGAAATAAACTCAAAATAAAATTTTTAAAAGAAGACACTTTAATTGTAAAGGGAGATAACTAGTATAAACTAGAACTATCACTAAATGTGATTAATACCCCCACGAGACTGCTTCGGAAATGAGGATGTTACTAGTAACAGAATAACCTTGTAAAAGAATTGAAATATAGAGTTATGGTTGTTGGCAATTAAAGATAGTTGTGGTTCTTGTATGTTGCATTTCCTTTCAATGTGGTTGGCCATTGATGAAGTTTAATTGAATTACTCTGTAATAAGTCCAGAAAGACAAAGAAAAGGAACAAAGGGCAAAAACTCTATAAAAACTGAAGATAGAGTTATAGTTCTTGTGCACTGCACTTCCTCTTTTTGTGCTTGAACATTGTATGAAGTTGTTTTGAATTCCAACCAGTATGTTTTAAGTTATGCTCAGGACAAGGAAAAGTATCGAAGGGCAGTAACTCTGTATTTTGTCAAAATGGAGTTATGGCTCTTGTGCACTGTACTTCCTTTTAATGTCCTTGACGACTGTATGAAGTTGTACTGAATTCCAAACAGTAGTTTTCAAGTTATGCTCTGGACAAGGAAAAGTAACAAAGGGCAATAACTCAGTAATTAGTCAAGATGGAGTTATGGTTCTTGTGCACTGCACTTCCTCTCAATGTGCTTGACCATTGTCTGAAATTATATTGAATTCCAACCATTAGTCTTCAAGTTATGCTCCGGACAAAAAAGCAATGGAAAAGTAACAAAGGGCAATAACTCTGTAATTAGTCAAGATGGAGTTATGGTTCTTGTGCACTGCACTTCCCCTTATTGTGCTTGACCATTGTATGAAGTTGTTTTGAATTCCAACCAGTAGTTTTCAAGTCATGCTATGGACAAGGAAAATTAACAAAGGGCAGTAACTCTGTAATTAGTCAAGATGGAGTTATGGTTCTTGTGCACTGCACTTCCTCTCAATGTGCTTGACCATTGTATGAAGTTATATTGAATTCCAACCATTAGTCTTCAAGTTATGCTCCGGACAAAAAAGCAATGGAAAAGTAACAAAGGGCAATAACTCTGTAATTACTTTAAATAGAGTTATGGTTCTTGTGCACTGCACTTCCCCTTATTGTGTTTGACAATTGTGTGAAATTGTTTTGAATTCCAACCAGTAGTTTTCAAGTTATGCCCCGGACAAGGAAAAGTAACAAAGGGCAATAACTCTGTAATTAGTCAAGATAGAGTTATGTTTCTTGTGCACTGCACTTCCTCTCAATGTGCTTGACCATTGTATGTAGTTATATTGAATTCCAAACATTAGTCTTCAAGTTATGCTCCGGACAAGGTAAATGCAACGGACAAAAAAAAAGCAATGGAAAAGTAACAAAGGGCAATAACTCTGTAATTACTTTAGATAGAGTTATGGTTCTTATGCACTGCACTTCCCCTTATTGTGTTTGACAATTGTGTGAAGTTGTTTTGAATTCCAACCAGTAGTTTTCAAGTTATGCCCCGGACAAGGAAAAGTAACAAAGGGCAATAACTCTGTAATTAATCAAGATAGAGTTATGGTTCTTGTGCACTGCACTTCCTCTCAATGTGCTTGACCATTGTGTGTAGTTATATTTAATTCCAAGCATTAGTTTTAAAGTTATGCTCCGGACAAGGAAAATGCAACGGACGTCTGGACCGACCGACCGACCGCCCGACCGACCGACCACCGGGTGACTCCTATATACCCCCCCAAACTTCGTTTTTGGGGGTATAAATATGAACATGATGACACACCAAGGTTGCCTCCCTTCTAATAAACTCGCAGTTTACTGAGGTAAATTACTTATATATATAACTGGCAGTTGTTTTTCTTGTTTCTTTTATGTATGTACAACATATATAGTGTATATGTATTTTTGAATATGCCATAAAATGAAAGGTTTGCAAAAAAGCCAATGAACCATGATTTCCAGTCAAAGTGAAAATAATATATAACAATATAATGTTCTATTCAAGTAAAGAAATCTGTCCCCGATTAATTATTTTAGTTTTTGTCTTGTATAGAAAGGAATGTTGTTATTGTTGGGTTTTTTACTCAACGAGGAGCTAAAATAAAGTTTGGTCTAAAGAATTGCTTAAAGGCTTACAGATATTTGTTTAAACAAGATAAAAAACAAACTTACCAAATCTATTCATCATAGTCAACATCCAATTACAGCCTTCTCTACATGGCGTGCACTGCAAAACATTAAATATTTCATCTTTAGCAGGGAATATTTTCTGTATGTGTCTAAACTGCAATAGTTATCGAATAAGTGTGCCTTTAACATTATCTGGCATCAAATTCATCGGACATATTCTGTATATGTCTAAATTACAATTTTTGCATTATAACTGTACCTTATATATTATCAGATATCAAATTTATCTGACAGATTGGCAATTAAAATGACATCATATATCAAATTGTTCGGAGGATATAACAGTTAATCAAAAATTTGTCCTGGCTAACTGAACTCTTAACAAATGGATCTAACTAAATGAACTGTATAATACTCTTAACTTGTTTACATTTTTTTTAAATGCCTTCAAAAATTAATAAATCTGTTAAATTATTAACAAATTAAAGTAATCTTTTCATTTCAAATGATTTTTTTCCCATATCTATTGATACTATTAAAAGTTTATGTCCATTTTTATGAACAAGAGGGCCATAATGGCCCTGAGGTTGCTCACCTTTATATAGGCCCCCGTTGCGGGGCCAGTTTAAACCCCAGGGCTTTTATTTGAACAAATTTGGAAGACACCCATTAGAATATGTTTCATGATGTTTAGTTTTTACTACACACATATAATGTAAAACAATGACCAGCCCCCCATCCCCTCCCACCCCTGCCAGGGCCAATTTTAACCCAAGGGCTTTTATTTGAACAAACTTGGTAGACAAACATTAGAAGACGTTTCATGCTAAATATCTAAGCTCTAGCTAATTGGGTTTTTTAAGAGAAGATTTTTATGTTTTTACTATACAAAGATAGTTAAAAACATTGACACCCCAGGGGCGGGGCCAGTTTTGAACCAAGGGCTTTTATTTGAACAAACTTTGTAGACACTTACTAGAAGATGTTTCATGCTTGATATCTAAATTCTAGCTATTTGGATTTGGTAGACACCCATTAGAACATGTTTCATGCTAAATATCTTAGCTCTAGCCCTTTGAGTTCTTTAAAAGATGATTTTTTAAGTTTTTACTATATGCATATAGGGAAAATCAATAACACCCTAGGGTGGGGCCAATTGTGACCCCAGGGCTTTTATTTGAACAAACTTGGTTGACACTCATTAGAACATGTTTCATGCTAAACATCTTAGCTCTATCTCTTTTGGTTCTTTATAAGAATTTTTTTTTAAGTTTTAACTTTATGTATATAAGGAAAATCAATGACCCCCTGGACGGGGCCAATTTTGACCCCAGGGCTTTTATTTGAACAAACTTGGTAGACACTCACTAGAAGATGCTTCATGCCAAATATCTAAGCTCTAGCTCTCAAGGTTTTTTAAAAGAGGATATTTAAAGTTTTTTCTTTCCGTTGCCATGGTAACCAGAGTTCTGCATGGAATTAAATTCTTTAAACAATTTTCAAAGATGACCACCAGAAGAACATTCTTGTGAATTTTGGATGAAATTGGCTCAGTGGTTTATGAGGAGATGTCATTTATAGTAAAAGTTTACGGACAGACGAAGGACGGATGCTGGACGAAAGCGGTCACTTTGTGACAGGTGAGCTAATAAACAAGAGGGCCATGATGGCCCTGAGGTCGCTCACCTGTATATAGGCCCCCCAAGCCCCCCCCTCCCCGAACGTTGCAGGGCCAATTTAACCCAAGGGCTTTCATTTGCACAACCTTGGTAGACACCCATAAAGATGTTTCATGTTAAACATCTAACCTCTAGCTCATTGGGCTTTTAAAAAGAAAATTTTTTTTTAAGTTTTTACTATACACATATAGTTAAAAACAATGACACCCCTGGGGCCGGGCCAGTTTTGACCCCAGGGCTTTTATTTGAACAAACTTTGTAGACACTTACTAGAAGATGTTTCATGCTTAATATCTAAACTCTAGCTATTTGGGTTTTTTCAAAGAAGATTTAAAGTTTTTGCTATACACATATAAAGAAAATCAATGACCCCCGGGCGGGGCCAATTTTGACCCCAGGTCTTTTATTTGAACAAACTTTGAAGACACTCACTAAAAGATGTTTCATGCTTTATATTTTAACTCTAGCTATTTGGGTTTTTTCAATACACATATAAGGAAAATCAATGACCCCCGGGGCGGGGCCAATTTTGACCCCAGGGCTTTTATTTGAACAAACTTGGTACACATATTAGAACATGTTTGATGCTAAATATCTTAGCCATAGCTCTTTGAGTTCTTTAAAAGAGAATTTTAAAATTTAACTATATGCATATAGGGAAAATCAATGACCCCCCCCCCCTGGGGCAGGGCCAATTTTGACCCCAGGGCTTTTATTTGAACAAACTTGGTAGACACTTATTAGAACATGTTTGATGCTAAATATCTATCTTAGCTCTAACTCTTTTGGTTCTTTAAAAGAAGATTTTTTAAGTTTTTACTATATGCATATAGGGAAAATCAATGACCCCCTGGGGCAGTGCCAATTTTGACCCCAGGGCTTTTATTTGAACAAACTTGGTAGACACCTATTAGAACATGTTTCATGCTCAATATCTTAGCCATAGCTCTTTGAGTTCTTAAAAAGAAGATTTTTTAAGTTTTTACTATATGCATATAGGGAAAATCAATGACCCCCCCCGGGGCGGGGCCAATTTTGACCCCAGGGCTTTTATTTGAACAAACTTGGTAGACACCCATTAGAACATGTTTCATGCTAAGTATCTTAGCTCTAGCTCTTTGGGTTCTTTAAAAGAAGATTTTTTAAGTTTTTACTATATGCATATAGGGAAAATCAATGACCCCCCGGGGCGGGGCCAATCACTCACTAGAAGATGTTTCATGCCAAATATCTAAGCTCTAGCTCTTATGGTTTTTTAAAAGAAGATATTTAAAGTTTTTTCTTTCCGTTGCCATGGCAACCAGAGTTCTGCATGGAATTAAATTCTTTGAACAATTTTTAAAGGTGACCACCAAAGGAACATTCCTGTGAAGTTTGGATGAAATTGGCTTAGTGGTTTATGAGGAGATGTCATTTAAAGTAAAAATTTACGGACGGATGACGGACAGACGCCGGACGAAAAGCGATCACAAAAGCTCACCCTGTCACTTTGTGACAGGTGAGCTAAAAAGTAATTATAATACTGCACATTTGTAACGTCATTTTTCATTGGATAAGCGTGACGTTTATATAGTTCTATATACACATTTGCTGTCAATTTTTAAAAATCTCTCTTATTTCTCACAAAGAAGTTTGCTGTATTATTAATTTGATATAAATATTCTTGACAGGTTATATGACTGTATCTAAACGGTTGTTTGCAATACAACCCTAGGCTAGTGGTTCAGACAGGCATTTATATAGGCCTACATAACCTGTCAAGAATTTTTATGACTAATATTCCATTTCTCTTAACCCGTCTCAGTCAACACTTAACTTGCTGGAACCAAAGATGACAAGTTTGCCTACAAGCTCTATACTGTTGGTACCCCAATTTTTGTATTTTGCTTCTGAAAACCCCTTAAGCTTGAAATGGACTGTTCCAAATTCATAGGTGGGCAAAACCATTACAAACATTCAGTAGGTAAAGGGTTAATATTACCATAGTAACATACCTGGCCACAGCTTTCGTGTTTATAAAAGTGAGCAAGCCGAGCTATACATCTGATAATGTCTGCTTGATTATTAATTACTGTAACAGCGGCTGTTCCAAGACCTGTCTGTGCTGCGATCAGAGCATCAAAGTCCATTAATACATCATCACATACACTGAAAAATAAAAAGAAATAGGAAATTTCAGTTAACCGCACCTGAATGTTGTTCCTAGTTTCAAATATTTCAAGACGTTTTTAAAATCTTTCGGCAAATTCGGAATATTTCTTTGGAATATACTTGGCTTACTTTGTTTTGTATTGTAATTAGAAATTTTCAGAATTACTACTGATTAAAACTATATCTAACAGGCTTCACACCATTCCCCTATCAAACAGATAGGGGAAACAAGTGCATTATTACATGATATATGCACTAGATTTTTTTTCCTAAAATCACGCATATAAAAATCAATAATTCCTTAAGATTATTGGATGAGATCTTGATCATAAATACTGGAAAATGTTAAATTGTCTGCAATTTTATATCTGTCTGAATAAAACTGGAGTCAAGATTTGGCAGTTATTTTTTATTAAGTAAAGAAGAATGCAGTCAACAAAATATCATTTATATATGAAGAGCTGTACAGATAATGATAACAGATGAGCGAACAAGACTTACGATTTAGGTATAATAGGAGTTGAGGATCCGCCTGGAATGACAGCTTTGAGGTTGTCCCAGCCACCAATTACGCCGCCAGCGTGTCGTTCAATAAGTTCACGTAGTGGAATAGACATCTCCTCCTCAACGGTGCATGGGTTATTTACTTGACCAGAAATGTTGAACAACTGAAAAAAAAACACATTTTGTCACCTTATTGCATGAGAGATTATCAAAAAATTATTATTTGATAATCTTGTTTAAACACATCATAGTCTGAGTACCATGCTAGCGTACTGTCTGCTTACTAGTTATGTTACAGAGTTTATCCTCCAGCTAGCTTACGGAACATCCATGGTTCTTACTCAGTTGCCCGTTCGTGCCTGAAATACTGCACGAAAGGGTACCTGAGGTCTTCCTCCACCAGTAAAGCTGGAAAGTCGCGATATGACCTATACTGTGTCGATGTGACGTAAAACCCAAAAACAAACAGAGTTTATCCACTTCAGATTTGCAAGGGAGGTAAAAAATAATTTCCTCTAGGTTCTTGTCACGTTAATAACCAAGTGGAAAGGTTCAACTTGTTTGTTACCTAGGCTCCTTTTGTCTGTCACTTTCTAGGAGTTAAGTCCTATTCAATTTAGAAGGACATCACCTTAATTTAGTAACAGGTTAAGTCCTTCTAAATGTAATAAGAGTGAATCAGTTATTGCATTAAGTTGACAGTAAATATAATGTGAAACAGCTGTCTTCAATTACTAAATAATAATTACAAAATAACTTAATGTAACCAATTTAAAAATAATTTGATCTAGTAGTAAATATTTTTTATTAGCTGATCAATTACATGATTTGAAACTTTTTAAGACAAAACAAAATACAAGAGAGCATTGGTCAATTTATGGACAATTGCACACAAAAAATCTTTTTAAAACCCAAGTGAGCAAACTATCTGAAATTTTGCATACTCCTCCATCAAATTGGACATGTAAAGAAATCACACACACAAAAAATTCTTCTTTACTTTTAAATTTTTCATCATAATTAATTAAAAAAAATATGGCCAAAAAAAAGGTTATAGGCAATGACCTTATACTGAAACAAAGTTGACTAGAGTATATTTAAAAAAAAATACTACCTTTGTCCCCCTATTTCTGTCTCTTCCAAATGATGCAAACCAGTCACCACCCCTTCTACAAATAGCCTGAAATATAAGTATATGAATTTAGCTGGATTATAAAACAAGGATTGCAGATTTTCTGGATGACTCTACAGCCAGCTTTATGGGCCAACCAGTGTTGGTGTCTAATGAGGAAACAAGGTGTGACCCCAATAAGTCTCAAACTCATGATCCCTGGGTTAAGAGACACATTTACCACCATGCTTCCTCTTGCTTTGATAATATACATTCATATAAGTACAAACTAGCAATTACAACACTGTCTTATATAAAGGCAGATTTACATATAAAATAAAGTACATAATTTTAATTTATAAGTATGCACTGTTCACTTTTCAGTAAAAACATTTGTTTTGAATTCTCTCTAACAACAATAAATGTTTGCATCCAGATATAAAGATAGGCAACTCCATTACAGATATTTATCATTTCATCTTATAACATGTTTCCTGTAATTTATGTTTTGGATAGAGGCCTCATCATACAGTGCACTTTTGAATCTGCACTTTTGAATCTCATCAAAATTTAGCAGCCTTAGGGGATCAGATTTTCTACAGAAAGCAGTTAGAACATGTTGGTTTTCAGCATCACTTTGTTAAATCATTTATTTACTATACTATTACTGTTTGAAGATAAATGTTTGAAACAAGAGCAGAGCTGTCAAATATTGGTCAACATTGCATTCTATAGCATGGTGGTGGTGTTGATAGTTTAAGTGGTTTACACTCTGGATCACAGCAGTAAGCTACTTCATCTACAAGAGCACAGCTCAGCCACATCATCTTTCCTGGACAGACTGTCAAGCAGTTTACCAGTACTGGCTGCCTTCACTTTTGCAAGGAACCTTTGTACATGCCAGAGCACAGGTACAGTGCAAATCAAAGGATATCATGATCAATCACAATTCAAGTGACCTGCACCTTCCAGGAATCAAACTGGGATTTCCCAAGTCAGAGTCCAACACTATACCTATTGAGCTAACAAGATGGTGCCATTCTATAGCATCAGAGATAAGTTATATATATATACATACAGGGGCTACGGCAACTGTTTCAACGTTAGATACTGTTGATGGGCAACCAAACAAGCCAACTTCAGCTGGAAATGGAGGCTTTAGTCTCGGTTTTCCCTGTTTTCCTTCCAGAGATTCTATCAATGCCTGTAATATAGAAATATTGTGAAATGTTACAAATATAAAACACTTAGTTTTTGCCTAGTAAGTGCTTCAAATTAAAGGGAAAAGCACATAGTAATAATGTTTTGCTCAAGAAATGCAACCCATTTAAAGTAACAGCAAAATATTTCAGATTTTTTTAATTTCTTATGAAATAACAGTTACTTCTCACAATAATTTTTGTTTAACCAGTTTAACAACAGTTGCTATATATCTGCCATGGATATTTTTTAAAGAATTTTTAAGAGTGTACTATAGAAGATAGATGCTTTTTTGTATGCAGTATACATAAAACCTTGACCTTTAACTAAGTTAAGATAAAAAAATATTTTTCTTTTCAAATCAAACTTACAGCAATTATATCGGATATAATTGTGGTCAAAAAATAAATGAATCAATAATTTAATATCACGTGTTAAAAAAGAAGAAAAAATCTAACCGTTTCTTCTCCACAAATGTAGGCACCAGCTCCCCTATGGACGTAAATGTCAAAATCATATCCAGTTCCACATGCATTCTTTCCTATTAAACCTGCGTCATAGGCCTGTAAAACATAGGGAATATTAAACCAGTGTGCCATTCTGATGGTTTGTATTGCTCGAGTTGATTATGCAAAGTGGTATTCCCATATTCAATCACAATTACCTTATAAGTACTTATTTCTGTGGGCTTAATATTCTGCGATTTTTGTTAAAATAAGGGGTTTTAAATTTCTGTGTATCTTATTTCTCTGGTGTCATCATTTTTGCATTGATGATTTTTATTTCTGCCTTTTAATTTTGATATTTTTTTACAAAATTAACCGATACAAACAGATAACATTTGATGATATGTTTATGTAACATGAACATTACTTCCGATAAACATGCAGACGACTTATAATGTGTGTTCATCGTAATCACCATGTATCGGTATATAAACGTTAATAAACAAAATTAACAACATGCAAATACATCAATTAACTGTAATACTGCGTTTGTATAAATATGAAGTGTGAAAAACAAACAATGGTAAAATCGCACGTAGACACAAAATATTGTACAAATACAAAAGGGTATGTTTATTGCACCCGTCAAACTATAATAGTTTTATTTTAAAATAAATCAAGCTTTGGCTGAACGAACATCTTACAAACATGATATTTATTTTAACAAAAAGTACAAGTTAAGTAACTTTTTCTAACATATTATTCAGGATGTATGCATAAAGAAAAATTCCCATCTACAAAAGCTGATAACGGTACATGGTAATGTAATTATACAAAACAGGTAGTTGACATACATGTAGACATAGGGAAAGGCTTAATTTTCTGCGTTTTTAAATCTGCCGTGTTGTTTTAAACCGCAGAAATAGCAGAAATAAAGTTCCTGCAGAAAAAGTACTTATACCGTATCAAGACGCACCTGGAGTTTATTGGGCTTATTTTATAGCATATATTTGGGCCCCAATGGACAACAGTGTAATATTTTCGCAATCCACAGGAAAAAATTCCCAAATGAAAATTACAGAAACAATATTATTGAATAACAAATTAGATAAGGGCTTTTTTTGACTGTAATGGTGCTTATATGTTTGAAGATGCCATGCTACACAGTGATTCTTTGCATTTATTCAATTGCTGAAATTCACAATAAAGGTATGGTCAAAACCCTGGGCAAGAAGAATAAGGCATGCACAAAATCCTCGCTTAACTGTGGACACCCCACTTGAAACAGGACAATGTTTGTTCAGAGACACTTTATTATGTTATTAAACAATATTCATGTGTTAAATTACAGAGATATTGTATTGTAGAATTCTTTTAAGAAAATCTACCATAATATTTTGGGAACAACATAATATCACTATTTATAATTCATGCAGCAGCAAGTATAATAGAAAATAATTTCTATGCCTACCTCTTTTACTGCAATCTGTAAGGTTGATGCCTCATTATAGAATTCTCCTCTGATATAAATATAAGCTGAAATAAAACAGAAAAGCAAAACATAAAGCTTTCAAATATTGTAAAATAGTAAAAAAAATTATCAGCATACATTTTCATCGAGTTATTTTCTTGCAGATACTTAATTTTCATTGAGTAACTACCTTGTAGGTAACTTTATTTTCATTGAGTTACTTTCTTGCTGGTACTTAATTTTCTTCTCTTTAAGTAAAATTTCTTCCAAAACTGAATTTTCATTGAGTCACTTTCTTCCAGATACATAATTTTTGTTAGGTAACTTTCTTGCAGCTACTTAATTTTCATTGAGTTACTTTCTTGCAAATATTTAACTTTCTTGCAGACACTTAATTTCATTGAGTAACTTTCTTGCAAATACTTAATTTTTGTTAAGTAACTTTTTTGCAGTTACATAATTTTCATAGAGTTGCTTTCTTGCAGATATCAAACTTTCTTGCAGAAACTTAATTTTCATTGAGTTACCTTCTTGTAGATACTTAATTTTCTTTGAGTAACTTTTCTTGCAGATATTGTAAAATCTTTTGGATCAATAACAGACAATGCCATATTCAAAGCAAGAAAACTATATTCTATAATAAGTTTGACAAGGTTTTAAAATTTAATATTCAGAATACACAAACCTCTTAAACATGATCAAAATCAGAATGATGAAATTATATACAACACAGTCATATATGTTAACCCTTTCTAAATACAAATCCCTAATACATCAAATAAAGTTACAAACAGCTTTTAGGTGTGAAAATATCAAACAAGATCCAAGGCAATAGAGCTTTACAGATTTAATTTTGAGAATAATTTGTAATTCTGGAAAGATGCCGTATCAGATAAGATAAAATATCTTTTTTCCTTTTTTTCCACAGGTTTTACATCACACCAAGACAGTATAGGTCATATGTGACTACCCAGTTTTACTGGTGGAGGAAGACCTCAGGTGCCTATTTGTGTATTATTTCTGGCACCAACGGGTACATGAGTAGAACCACCGATATTCTGTACGCTAGCTGGATAGCTTCCTCACATGAAAGAATCCAATGCCCTTGGCAGAATTCGTACCTACAGCAATGAATGGCAACTCAAGTAGTTTTCGTGAGCTTTCAAATCAATGAAAACTCCCAAAATAAATTAATGATTCAAGACATAACATACCAGCTCTAGCACCCATGGCAGCTCCGGCGACGAGGCAGCCCTCGAGGAGGGTATGAGGATCGTGCCTCATTATCTCTCTATCTTTACACGTACCAGGTTCACTCTCATCCGCATTTACACATAAGTATTTCGGTCTGAAAACATTTGTTCAGTTTTTTGTTAATTTTCATATCTAAAGCATTTACCCTGCTGGCAGCAATAAAATATTCCCATATAACCAGTGCAATATATTACTGTTAATCTTAATTGAAAACTGTCGAAAAGAAATTATTCTCCATTCCATTTACCCTGCTGGCAGCAATTAAATCTTCCCATATAACTAGTGCAATATATTACTGATAATATCAAAATTGAAAACTGTCCAAAAAATTCCCAATTCTGTTTACCCTGCTGGTGGCAATTAAATCTTCCTGGCATATAAGCAGTGCAAAAGAAGATCAGTGGGCATTTCTTTGCCGTTTCTTTGATCATGGTCTGCACAGTGCAATATTCAATCAAAACATATTTTTAAAGTTTCCGAAAAAATGATCAACGGTTTTGACAGTCTTCCATTTAAGTAATCAATATTCATTGCAATGGTTTTTTGGGGGTTTTTTTTAGTATATACCCTAACAAGAAATTGTTTTGATAATTTTAAACACAAAAAAAGGAATGTATATTAAGACATATATGTAGATTTTTATATTCTCATTAAAAGATTTTTTCATTACTTTTTGCAGATAAATTACCTTCCATCACTTGGTTTGTTCATAAAGCCCCATTTCATGCCTGTTGGAAAACCTGCGCCTCCCCGACCTCTCAAACCGGAGGTTACAATTTCTTTGAGGATCCAGTCAGCCCCTTTCTCTACAATCTCTTTTGTCTTGTACCAAACTCCCTACAGACAGCATCATTATATATCAGCAAATATCACAAGGGTATAAATAAGATATGACCGTCCTGTACCCGTGGGTATTTACATTATCATAGTCTTCCTGGATCTATCTCACATATTGAACTATTAGGGAAAAAAGTATTAAAATGTGCACAATTGACAAGAAACTATCAATTTCTTCATATAAATATTTCAGAACTGTTTAGTGGATAGATAAACAATTTCTATAAAAAAAAAAAAAAAAAAAAATTGTTGGAAAAAGTAATATTCAGTAATGAACCTATACATGTACATTCATATCTATATCATTCAAAATCCTCTACATATATGAATTATCATATTGTAATTACTTAAAAAAAATATAAATACCAACCCTCTGCATAGATGCTTTAAGCTTAAAGTCATGGCGACCGTATATATTCTGAAAGATTCTGTCATCATCATGTAGTGGGCCAAATTTTGTCTAAAAACAACAAGATATTGCAAAAGTAATATGGTTATAAAAATTAAACAGAGATTTATATCAATTTCAAATAACTGAGTCAATTTAGATTGTATCAAAATATAGATCAAAGTTAATAAAAGTCATTATAAGCACCACATACGATTAAGATTGTATCATAGACATTAGTTTGGAGACCTTGCTATTGAAAAGTTGTCAGAGTTAAATCATACATGCACAGTGCGTTAAATGAAGTGCTGCACTCTAGTAACCACACTGTCTGTTGGGAATGAACATAGAGCATGCTGGTTGATTGGCTATGGGATGCTATGGCATTACATGATCAAGCCATTATCCTGTAATGTTAAAATAATGAACATTACATTACCTTCTCTGGTTTTTTCGCTTCTGTTGTGTTGTTTCTCACAGATACGATGGTAGTTGGACTTAGGTTATTTACAACTGAAATATATGAAATAATATAATTATTATTGAAATACAAAATACACTACTGATATACAACAATAAAATTCATTCTTATCGGTGTTACATGTATCAAATGTGCATTACTATATCTCAGTTTAAAAAAAAACAAACTGTAACTAACAACAATTTACAGCTTACCCGGTGGCATTAAAAAAATAACGCGTCTCACACAGAAATGGTGCTTTTTAGCAACCCAAGAGCTGAAATAACACCTTGGTTGCTTAAATGCACTTATACTTACCCTGAAAGACGGGTGTATTTGTTTTTATTTTATTACATAGAACCAACAATTTAATGTAAATTTTCACGGCTTCGTATTATTACACAAAGAGCGGCTCAGCTGTTTGGCTATAGACTACACGTGCATATTTAAAAGGAAATCAAATAAAAAAACAATGAAATATTTATACATTTCTATACCAATTGGTGAAATTTTTAAGTGTCATATCTAGATGGGCGCTGCAAATTTCAATGTTACTTAAAGATGATAGTCGGGGTGTTCACATAACGGAACAATCGCAACTTTTCACATAAGATTTATAATAATCATGGAGTATTCCGAGTGAAAAAAGAAATATGGAATGCAACTTTTAAAACAGAAAATGTAAAATAAAAAATAAACTATTATTTTAACCGACTTCCTCATTAATAGGCTTTGCCTAATATCACATTACATATAAACATATTCTAAATTATAAATTGATAGCTTGAATAGTCTTGCCAGGATATACAACAGCAACAACATGCCTATAAAATTTTTGATGCAATTATATCATAAAATTTGCAAAGCATGTTTTCTATAACACTGTCATAATATACTAGTACCTTAATTTGATGCCTTTTCATTAAGTTAATTCTCCTCTTATTAGCGCCATCAAAATCGGCAATTAGTTATTATTGTTTGAGTATCTGTAATTTATTTATCTCTAGTTACTTTGAATATGTATAAATTGCTAACTGATTCTGTGTCATTATAGGCACATTTATGTCTGACTTTTAAACCGTTCTACAATTAGTCATGGTATCTGGGATTTAGACATATAGGGTCTGGGTAAACAATCAATTTGTACTTCTCACACCATGAAAGTTAGGGGCTTTAATGGCCAAAATATTAAAGTTTCTGCAATAAACAAACGTCTGACAGGTTAAATTTTTAATGCAAATAAAACTTGGTTCTGTATTGATTTATAAGATTTTTTGTTTGCAACCACATTTATTAAGGTCACAAAACGATGGGAAGGCACAAATTGATGAGAATAAGACATATGCCTTATAATTTTTGGTGAAAAAGAATTGTGTTTTAAGGACATATCTATGATCAAGACTTTGGTCAAAATGGCGTATAACTTTATGAACAAGTGGGCCCAGGACCCTGTCAAATTCTCAGCAGATCTCTGGCATGTCGTTGTTAATATCAACATGTCAAGCTCTCTGGTCATGATTTTCTGTTAGTTTTCATTCAGATTTCATAATATCATTGACATGTTGAAATCCAAGGTCTCAGAATATTTTATTTCATAACCTATTACATTTTCATTTACTGAATTTTATTTTAATAGTCTACATGTTAAACTTAAAACTAAAAGGGATAATATGGAATATAATTAACATCACAAAGAAGCTTGAAAATTACTTTGATTTGATAATAAAACAATGGAAATAATGAATACATAATGAATAATGCTGCTCAAACGCTTAAAATATGGAGTATCGGTATCGATAAAATACTGTATAGTTTCACAAGTATCGGGTACCTGCTAAGTGATGGTTTTGAAAACTTTCGTCCGAAGTACCGAATTGGACACATCGCAACTTTTCGAATTACAAGATAACGATAAAAGCTGATGTACTCTGATTGAAAACAGAAGCGTAGACTGGTGTCCTGCGCACTTATATTGGAACCATAATAGAAAAGGGGAACCAGAATTAACGGAAGCAGTGAATAAAATACCAAACAATTTTAAAACGGAAAATGTAAAATAAAAATGAAAGATTATTTTAAACTATCTTATGGTAAAAGAAAATTGAGCTCGCTTTTAGGCTTTGCCTTTTTCATATTAGAAACACATTTGATGGGGTCCTACTAAACACTGCTAAGGACCGCTAAGGACTGCTAAGGAGCCACAAAGGACTACTAAAGAGGCACAAAGGACCTTATAATACCTCCTAGACCATTCTTATATTACCTGGTATTATTTTTAGTGAAAAAAAAATTCTAATTTTAAGAAAAAATATGATTTTGGTAAAAATTTTATGAGTTGTCGGACCGCTAAGGACTGCTCAGATACACAAAAGACTGCTAGGGAGGCACAAAGGACCTTAAAATACCTCCTAGGCCATTCTTATAATACAAGGTAGTATGTTTAATGACAACAAGAGCTGTCTGTAGGACAGCATGCTCGACTATTCTAAGTGTTTGATAGTAAAAGAGCCTTGATAATGTTAATTTTTTTAAGTTCACAAAAGGGCTAATTTTTTTTTATAAATTCATGTTATAGGCCTTAGAGAGAGTCTAATTATACAGTATTGGCTTGACTATTCAGAAGGTAATGTCACAAGGGTGTTTTATTGAGTATAATAATACTAATTACCTATGAATACATAAATTTGACAGAAAAGGTACAAAGGCTTGTTATTAAGATGTTTTATCAAGTAAATCACTGCTTTATTATTATAAACGCATAAAATTGTCCCAAAAAAGGCACAAACCCTTCAGTAGTTATTGAGATAACAGCTTACAAGCAAAACTTTACCATGAATTTCTAAGTTGAAAAAGGGGAGAAAAATCAGCCTAAATGCAAGATAGAATTATGGATCTTTGTCAGTGACCTACAATTATGACCCTAAATGCATATGTGAAGTTTTAAATAAATATCTTTAATAGTTATATGTAAAACTTGCATGTAAACATTTACCAAGAGACTAAGTAGAAAAGGGGATATGAATCAGCCTTAATGCAAGATAGAGTTATGGAACTTGGTCAGTGACATACAATTATGACCCTCCAATTATGACCCTAAGTGCATGTGTAAAGTAGTAAATATCTTTGAAGACCTTTAACCTTTAACCAAAATTTCTAAGTTTCAAAGGCCAATTCTGCAAATATTGCAGACAGAGTTATGCAATTTTGCAAACTGATGTACATTGTTACTATAAAAGAGTGTTTTAAATTTCAATTGAATATTTTGAGCAATAATTGAGATATTTGACTTTACAAAAAAACTTTAACCAAAATTTCTAAGTTCCAAAGGGGCATAATTCTGTCAATATTGTAGGCAGAGTTATCCAACTTGTCAATCTGATGTACCTTGTTACTATAAATAAGTATTGTAAGTTTGAATTGAATATTTCAAGCAATAATTGAGATATTTGACTTTACAAAAAACTTTAACCAAAATTTCTAAGTTAAAAAGGGGCATAATTCTGTCAATATTGTAGGCAGAGTTATCCAACTTGTCAATCTGATGTACCTTGTTACTATAAATAAGTATTGTAAGTTTCAATTGAATATCTCAAGCAATAATTGAGATATCTGACTTTACAAAAAACTTTAACCAAAATTTCTAAGTTAAAAAGGGGCATAATTCTGTCAATATTGTAGGCAGAGTTATCCAACTTGTCTATCTGATGTACCTTGTTACTATAAATAAGTATTGTAAGTTTCAATTGATTATCTTGAGTAATAATTGAGATATTTGACTTTACAAAAAACTTTAACCAACGCAGACGCCGACGCGGACGCTGACGCCGACGCCGGGGCGACTACAATAGCTCTCATATTCTTCGAATAGTCGAGCTAAAAATGTATTATTTTAAGAAAAAATATCATTTTAGTGATAAAATTTATGTTTTTTAAGAGTTGTCGGACCGCTAAGGACAGCTCAGGTGCACTAACAACTGCTAGGGAGGCACAAAGGACCTTCAAATCCCTCCTAGAACATTCTTATAATATATGGTAGAAAGTTAATAGACAAAAATGTATTATTGTAAGAAAAAAATATAATTTTGGTGATAGAATTTATGCTTTCGATAAGTTGCCGGACCGCTAAGGACTGCTCAGGTGTGAAAAGGACTGCTAGGGACCTTAAAATATTTCCTAAGGAAGCACAAAGAATCTTAAAATACTTGTAAGGGCATTCTTATAAAACATGGTAGTATGTTAAATGGCAAAAAATGTATTATTTTAAGAAAAAATATCATGATAGTGATAAAATTCATGTTTTTGAAGAGTTGTCGGACCGCTATGGAATGCTCAGGTGCACTAACAACTGCTAGGGAGGCACAAAGGACCTTCAAATTCCTCCTAGAACATTCTTATAATATATGGTAGTAAGTTAATAGACAAAATTGTATTATTGTAAGAAAAAAATATAATTTTGGTGATAGAATTTATGCTTTCGATGAGTTGCAGGACCGCTAAGGACTGCTCAGGTGCGAAAAGGACTGCTAGGCAGGCACAAACACCTATAAATATTTCCTAGGCAGGCACAAAGGACCTTAAAATACCTGTAAGGGCATTCTTATAATACGGGCTTGCCCGGCTATAGACTACACGTGTATATTTAAAAGAAAATCAAATAAAAAAACAATTAAAAAATATATAGAATTCTATACCTATCAATGAAATTTTCAGTGTCAGTTCTAGTCGGACGCCGCCATTTACAATGTAACTCAATGATAATAGGCGGGGTATTCCGATAACGGAACAAATCTCAACTTTTCGGATAAATGATAATCGTCGAGTATTCCGAGTGAAAACGGAAGCGGTGCATGTAATACCAAATGACACCTTTAAAACGGAAGGAATAAAAAGGAATTTTTAACGACTTCCCCGTTCATAGGCTTTGCCTAATTTCATATTACATGGTAGTATGTTTAGTGATAAAATGTATAATTTTAAGGAAAAATATCATTAAAGTGATAAAATTCATGTTTTTCTGAAGAGTTGTCGGACCGCTAAGGACTGCTCAGGTGCACTAACAACTGCTAGGGAGGCACAAAGGACCTTCAAATCCCTCCAAGAACATTCTTATAATATATGGTAGTAAGTTAATAGATAAAAATGTATTATTGTAAGAAAAAAATATAATTTTGGTGATAGAATTTATGTTTTTGATGAGTTGCAGGACCGCTTAGGACTGCTAGGGAAGTACAAAGAATCTTAAAATACCTCCTAGGGGCACAAAGGACTGCTAGGGAGGCACAAAGGACATTTAAATACCTCCTAGGGCATTCTTATAATATATGGTAGTATGTTTAGTGAGAAAAAATGTATAATTTAAAAAAAAATATAATTTTGGTGATAGAATTTGCATGAATTTGTGGGTCATACAAAAAATTATGTAAAATTAACCGTATCCCACTGTAACCTTGTTTAACCCTTGTATCCCTTGTCATGAGGGCCAGGGGGTGAAAAATAATTGTGGTTTTGTGTCATATATGACAAAAGACACCTAAAAACTAGTATGGCAGTAATACTGCTAATTATGTTATGAAAATATACGTTTACAAAAACTAAATTTTTAACAACACTGAGTGACCTTGCCAATTAACATGAAAATACCAGTTATCTAAAACGAGAAGATACATAACAACACATAAACAATGAAACAATTACCTGTTTGCAAACGCAAAACAGGGGATATACGACAGAGGCTCGCCATGTTCAATGCACTGCCAAATTAAATGTACCCTATTACATAAAATATTTTTTGGCAGAGACCCTCCGGTTAACCCGTAAGAATATTCACATTATGACATACGCTTTTAAACGAACTGAAATTAAAACACCGAAACGGCGAAATCATCACTGGAAAGAACCGAATGATTGAATACAATTGTCACCTTAGTTCACTATTTAGGAGAGAAGATGTGTAAGCTCATTCGGTAAAGGCGCGGTACGGTATTCCGATGGTTCCGAGTTCGAGTCCCGGTCAGGCAGCACATTTTTTTCGGTACAAGTCAACCCGGCCCCAAGTCAGCCCGGCCCCAAATTGGTCAACCCGGTCCCAAACCAATGCTACTTCTCGTTAACCCGGCCCCATTTTTATTATTTATTTTGCTTTAAATTATGAACACTTATTAAGAAATAAAAAAAATAACAACAACAACAAAAATTTAACGATGATATCTTTTATTATTTATTTAATATAAAAACTGTCAATAGTAACAAACAAGCAACACATGCATAGTTTACATTTTTACAATGTTTAATGCATAGTTCTACAATGTTCAATGCATATTTCTACAATGTTCAATGCATAGTTCTACAATGTTCAATGTATAGTTCTACAATATTCAATGCATAGTTCTATAATATTCAATGTATAGTTCTACAATATTTATTATCACTATTGCGTATTAAAGTCTTAATCGGCGCAATCAAATTTACCGACACTTTAATGCCAATTCATGATTTTTTTTACTATTGTTCTATAGTTAATAATCTTCAATTAATAATAAATCATTTTATTCCATCATACAACATATTTCAATTCATTTATTCAACAAAATGACTTAAATAGTTTTATTTCAAAAATATATATTTTGGGGCCGGAATGACCGACTTTGGGGCCGAACTGACAAATTTTGGGGCCGCATTGACCAAATAGATACTGTGGGGCCGGATTGACCAATTTTGGGACCGGAGTGATCAATTTTGAGGCTGGGTTGACTTGGGGCCGTGTTAACTTGGGGCCGGATTGACTGTAATTCCATTTTTTTCACCGTGACATTTGGCGCCAAACGGGGGACCGTGACTATATATAGCTCAGAGTTAATTCACATTGCTCTGTATAACTCTGTGAAATTCGAGGACGAATTTCAATAAAGCAGGGGAGTATGTCACGGTTCAGTTCACTATTTAGGGGAGATGATGTGTAAGCAGCCGGATAGCTCAGTCGATAGAGCCGCGGTACGGTATTCCGAGGGTCCCGGGTTCGCGTCACGGTCAGGCTGCACATTTTTCTCACCCTGTGACTCAATGAATACAACTTATATCTGTTTAGGTAAAAGATGACACTTTCCCGGCTCTGATATTTAATATGCAATACATATACATTCATAAAATACATAATAATGAATGAATATGTCAAAGATGAATACACACAATTAGGATCGTGATAAATGTTGCAAAAGTACTTAAACCTTGTCTACAATTTTCAACTATCTGATCCTAACATGTGGGCGCGGAGCTATTTGTGTTTACAATCTTTTTATGTCCATGGGCCCGGATTTTATTAATTTATCCTTTCGATTTACAGCTGAATATAAATTCGGATTCAAGAACTCCTTCTGATTTCTATTATATTGGTTTTCCCTTCGGTGATTCGCAGCATGTCATATTAATGAATGAGAACAGGAAAGCAGTACTGCTGTACAGTAATTCGAAAGCTATATATAGCTTGATGCATTGTGAAAGTCCGAAAATCTATTTATAGAAGTAGTTTTAGTCTAAACGAAATGGCCATTCGTGTCGCGCTATGGTAATAAATAATGACCTTATCAAAAAAATGTAAGTAGGCCATTTGTTATATTATAGTGTTATCATTTTGAAATTGTCTTTTCCCTAGGTTCTTTCCAGTATATAGCTCCTTTCTTTTTTACCGCCCAGATTGCTAATTGCACTTCTGACATTTTTTACCGTCAATATTTAAATCGACCGCGATTTGTAAGATGTTGATTCCATTTTGTTTGAAGGCATTCAGTTTTGTGCCGAATACTGTGACATTTTAACAACAGAAACTTTGGTCTGCAGTTTGAACATGAGGTGTAATGTTTTTTTATGAATGTAAACACAGAGGGTTTTAAAGCAATTCAACAAAATAGTATATTGATCTCCCAATAAATCAATTAACAATAGCTTTTTATATATCACCAATGTCAAGTAGCTTTTATATCTTTGACTCGCACGAACATGATGTTAGTGAATTTCCTCATACCTGCCTAAAATTCAGGTAACAGTATTCTATTATATTGATAAATACTGTATCACCATGAAACGCGTGTATAACAAACAAAAATTCCTGAATTTGGTCTTTTTGAAATTCGTTCCATTTTTTCATTCCAGAGTGTGTTCTACTTTCAGTATTGAAAGAAACCATTTTTTTTAATTTGACATGAAAAAATGCATGTAATATTACTATATTATATAATATTAGTCCCTTTTGTTACTATTTGTATATTTGTTACAATTATAATAATAAAAAACAGACTTTGATATTTTTATCATCTTATGTTACTGACTACAGTAGTGACACAAACAGTACACAGTACAGTCATGTCACATGACATTTACAAGTCTTGTAAGTCTTGTTTGTATCCGATGGAATTACTTTCCTTACCAGGTAAGCATCAGTGAAAGCATTTTTTTAAATTGAACATATGACCTTTCGAGCATAAGATAAGTATAATTATGCAAATAAAAAGGTTTACAAAACATTGAGAAAAAATGAACAATAGTACTTAATCTGAATATAACATGACCTGTGCGTAGGAATAATTTGGTAAGGTATCTAGCTGTATTAATGAGCGCATTTTTTGCGCGGAGCTTCTCAATAGCTGTATTGCAGGAACATTTGTACTTGTTTGAAGTTTTCTTATCTGATTATCTGTTTGACTTAAAGAAAGGAATTAACATGCCGCTGGCTTTTGGCATCTAGCGTGTTAATCAGTCTAAATCGAACCATTTTGATTGGTCAAATCGATAATTTCATAATTGATAAAATGCATTTTCATTGGTTTATAATTTCTTGATTAAGGGTCATTTTTTCATTGGTTTATTATTGAAACCTTTGTTAGCATTATTCTTATATTAATACAGACAGAGACAGAATTTTTTCGATATAGAATTATATATATGTATTCAGACAGTCAGAAACTTAACACGTAATGGTTTAAAATTAAACTAAAGTAAAAAATAAAGTTGTTATTTAAAAATTATTTGGATTAAGGATTTTTATATTCGAATTGCAGGTATATTATTACTTATCATGGTAGTTTCTTAAATTTATTTATTATGTTTTTGTTAATACTAGAAAACATGTTCTTTTGCATTTTATAGACTTTAACATAATATCTCCTAATATCTTATCTTTAGTTTTCATACTGTATAATGTTATATACATTAAATTTGATTCTGAATATTGTAATATACATATATATTTCTTGTTAAGCATTATGTTTTCATATCTTGGATCGTGCTTATTGATTTTGTATATTTTTCCACTTTGGTTTAAAAGCAATAAATTTACGCATTAATTAACTATAACTTTAAGTAATTTAAGTTAGTAATAAAATTTCATAACATATAAATAAGAAAATTAATACCAGTTGTAATATATCAATCTAACATTTTTGAAAGTATTTCTGTAATGTTTTTCGTTGTTACATTTTTATAACAAAAAGACGTCCATTAAACTTATTTCTATTATCTATATTGTATGTAAAGCTGAAGTATTAAATAGAGGATATTGAATGAGTGTAAGTTCAATACTGAATTTATTGCACGAGTTGAATAAAATTATATTATGCGAGCCTCTGGCGAGCATAATATTATTTTATTCAACGAGTGCAATAAATTCAGTAATGAACTTACACGAATTTATTAGTCTATTTATCACATACCAAAAATAAAGACCTTTTAAAGTGAAATAAGAGTAAGTTTACATTGACGCGCCTATAGTATAACGTTAACATTTAGCGCGTCTTTACACTATGTTTGTATAACGCTAATGACGTCACGTCAAAATATATGCACGGCCGTCCAATACCATATTTACGGAGTCGCAAAATTGTCACGGGTGTGTGATAAATATATTTATAATGGCACGTTTATTAGGATAGAATGTTAACTGCATGAAATTGCTTCACCTTTAATTGTGTTATTCTGTTAGCTATGGTTATATGTCGACCATGATCTCGGTACAATTCTCTCACTGCCAAGCAAGTGAATCTACCAATTGTTAAATAAACTTTGCTTTTCCCCAATGTTTTTATGTAGCAAGTTTAATAGTGTTAAGCCCTTACATGTATTTAATTGTGTTTTTATTTGATATTATCAAATTGAACAATTGACTTTTTCATGGAATTATTTTATAACTAGTAAAATTCATTGTTGTTTTAAAATATATTGCAAACATGAACATTCACCATCTGACTATTATACAAGTAATAAATTTGTTATTTATGAATTATTTGGTTTTAGGATTTTTAAATTTGGATTGCAGATCCCAATATCCCTTGCAAAAGCGCGTCTCATGTATCTAATCAATGTTAAATGATGGTCCATCCGCCCGCAAGTGCACACAATGCAGCTTTAGCTGTTGAGTACGGACCCCGGACAGTACGTCACCAGTCATGCCCTTAAAGAGTTAATTTTGAAGCACAAACTGGTGATAATTTACCTCCATGCAATTTCCACGGGGTATTAGCCAAAGATATGAAATTTGAGCCAAAAGTAGGTCTTTGTACGGCGGTCAGTGAGAACCTAAATGTACAGTATCTGAAACAATAATGAAAGGACTGTTGTTGTCATTCTCGTCGTCTTAATTAGCCTACTATTTTAGTGCCACTCCCCTCGGCATTAGTCAGAACATCGGCAGCTGGTCCGCAGTACAAGTTATGTTGCTTTGCGCCATCTCAAGTCTTTACATCCTCTGCGGATGCCTGTGATTTCTCAGGGAGCACGCTCCGACGGGAAGTAAAAATTAATTAGGTGCCTAGAGCTCCCAACAGCCTAGTAGGTGTTAGTACTGTGTACTCATCCAATAGAATTAGA